CGTCCTCACTGCTGTCCTCAGCGTCACTGCCAACCGTTTAGGACGAGCTTGGTTGGAGAGGCAGGGAGAGCAGCAAGAGCCTGCTGTATTTTCTCCTTTTGGGTTTTCCCGAGAGGATTTCACGGATCCTTCCACTCCCATGGGCTGTGTTTGGGGCAGAACCGCAGGCCCCTTCCTTCCCTGTGTCTGTGTGTCCTGGAGCACCTCTGTGTGGCTGTGGCTGAGACAGGGAGTGGCCTGAGGTGAGTTGTAGGTCCAGGTGACCGTGGGACCAACCCAGAGTCAGCTCTCAGTCCCTCTTTCCAAGCTGGATCAAGGAGCCCTCTCCAGCCCTTTCCATCTCTTTTAAGGCCTCTGGAATGCTTCAGCAATCCCTGCCCATCCTGGAGGGAAGAGGCACCCGTGCCCTCTCTTAGCATTTGCTACTGTGCTCTGAGCTCACACACTCCTTGGCACCTCTGCCCATCCATGCCATCACACTGCTCCCTGGATCAGCGCCAGGGCCTCCTCCCGTTTCCCTGCCTCCAACCATGCCCCTTACAGCTTTTTTTTTTAACACAAAAGTCTGAGCTGAATCATGTCCTTCCTGTCTCATAACCTCTGTGTTACACAGAGAAAAACTAACAGCCTTACTACAACCTACAAGGCCCTGCAGATTTGACCTCCAGTCTCCTCTGTCCTCAACAACTCCCAGCAGGCTCCCTGCTGCTCCCTAGGTTCCAATCTCCTAGCTAGTCCATGAACAGAGCTCTGGCCCCAGGGCCTTTGCACATGCTCTTCCCCTGTCTGGCATGCCCTTACCCCAGAAATCTGTGTGGCTCCCTCTCTCACCTCATTTAGGGTTTCACCTGGAAGATACCTTTTCAGTGAGGACTTTCCTGACCACCTTTCCAAAAGCTGTACCCCCAGTACTCCCTATCACTCTTCCTGTTTTGTTTTTCTTTATTGTTTGTAATAACACTTATTGTCATCTGATGCATCATGATTTTACTGATTTTGTTTATCAGCTCCTCACTGGCACTACTACTAGAATGAAAGTTTCATTTTATTGCCTTTCATATTTAGGCAGAGGTTTTTGCCTGTCTTGTTCATTTCTCTAGACCCTATGCCTGTGCATAATAAGTGCTCACCTAATCTTTATTCATGAATGAATGAAGGAATAATTAACTCCTGGATTAGCATGTGAGCTCTCTGAGGGGAGAAACTTTTCTCCTCTTAATAAATTATTAAATGAAAAGGTCTTTTAAGTGTGCCTAGTAATCAGTAGGATTTGTTTAATAAAAGTTGATAGTTGCCTTCAGCACAATCATGATGTCATTTCCTCTGTATTCTGGGCACTGGACACCAGTATCAGGCCACCCAAGATGGCTATTCTCTTGCTCTCTGTACATCCCCTGTTTGACCAGTCCCTGCTTCACCTACATCCTGCTGCTATGACTGACCCTCCCTCTTAATCATAGAGCCTAATCAGTAAATGGCTACACACTCATCCCTGGCCCCAGCTAGTGATTGTTCTAATCTTTAGGTCAGAACTGTCTTCACTGTGGTAGTTTATCAAAAGGGGGAGCCCCTCTGCTGGCTACCCTGCTAACCCATGAACCAACCTGATGTCAGTTCCTCTATAACTGACACCACCCCACCTCCCCAGTGGCTCCAGGACCTTGCTTCAGATGTGTAAGATCCCCCATCTATTAAACCACTGATGTCTTTATCAATAACTCTGGGCTCGCTCTTTGGTCTTGAGGCTGGGAAATTACAGGGCTTGCAGGCCTGTGGGATGCAGCCCAACAACAGGTAAACACAAAACTGGTGCTATTGATCAAAAGGGTAAAGGTAGACTCCCTTGTACCTTCCAGGGAGGCAACAGGGGAACTATCCTTCTAGCTACAGGGCTGGGCCCAGGAGGCAGAGTTGGTGCAGACTTGGAAGATCGTTACACAGGGTGGCAGCCATTCACTCAAAGTTTACTGAGTACTTCGCTTGTACCAGGCCCTGAGATCCCAAAGATGGTATCAACCTGGGCCCAGTACTTGAAGAACTAAGCGTTTAGCAAAAGAGATGCAAGTTAAGCTTTCATATACAGGAGTGGGATGCGGAGAAGCTGGAAAGGCTCCCAGAGAAAGGACAGTCAAGCTGAATGTGAAAAGATGAGAACAAGATGTCATGGTCTGCGTGCATGTTGGAAAAGAATTTTCCAGACATGAGACAGAATGAGAGGGAGATAAAATTTATTAGGGTGGGAGACGCTGTTAGAACAGCGGGACAGCTCAAGGGAGAACCGACAATGAATGGGGACCCTTAATCCACTTTTATACCCAGGGTACAAGGAGTGGGGTCTGGCGTGTCGCTTGCTGATTAGATGAGGCACGTACACTGGGTGGGGGGAAGAGTAAGGCAAATACCTCCTCCCTATAGGGTAGGAGGGGAGACAGGTTATATTGTTCCATTAGTAGTTACAACATAGGGGAGGGAAAGATGATAAGGGCCTGGTTTTTCCATTTCTGTATTCCAAGACCCTCCTTGGTTATCTGCTCTTTCATCCTTGGGTCACCACACAAGAGAGCCAGGTCAAGGAGGGAGGAGCCCACATTCTTCCTCTCTAGCCTTCGGTCTCCCCATTTACCCCATGAAAGTGATCCATCAAGTGACCTTCAAAGCCCCTCTGGCCTCGGACATACTGCCACTCTATGGTCTTTGGCCTCCGGACCCAGGCTCTGTCCTCTGGTTTCTGCTGTCCCCTGTTGGAGACTTTTGGTAACACTGGAGTCAGGAGAGGCAACATCCAACCTTGCCTTCTTTCCCCAAAGTGAGCAGCAAGGTCCAATCCGAGCCTTCCCTTCACCTCCCATCACTTGAAGCACCAAACTAAAGAACACTAGCTTTTCTCTCAAATAGAGAGTATTCTCAATACATATTTTTGACAAAGGGCTTGAAACCAGAATACATGAAGTATTCATAATTGTTACAACCCAGCAATCCCACTTCTAAATAGTTACAGAAATAAATGAAAACATGTTCACACAAGACTTGTGTATGATTGTTCATGGTAGCTTTATTCATAATAGCCTAAAACTGGAGAAAAAAACTCAATGCCTATCAACTGGTGTAGACACAAATTGTGATATATCTGTACAATGGAATATCACTCAGTGGTAAGCAAGGAACAAAAGATTTATGGTAAATGAAAGAAGCCAGACATGAATGAGTACATATTGTGTAAGTCCATTTATATGAAATTCTAGAATAAAAAATCTACAGTGACAGCAGATTAGAAGTTTCATAGGGCTGGCTTTGGGGAGTGAGGATGGAATAGCAGGTGGAACATTATCTGCAAAGGAGCACAAGGGAAGATTTGGAAAGAGGAAAATTTTTTTTTTTTAAGTTTTTGACAGATGACACGTTTGTCAAAACTAATCAAACTTGGGGAACTCCCCTGGGAAAGTCCTGATGGTTAGGATTCAGTGCTTTCACAGCCCCGGCCAATGGCCTGGGCTCAATTCCTGGTCAGGGAACTAAGATGCCACAAGCCCCATGGCATGCCAAAACAAAACAAAAACAAATAAAAAACCCCAAAACAAAACAGCTTCAAACTAAGACATTGAACTAAGTGAACAAGCCAGATACATATTGTAGGGACAAATAATGTATGATTCCACTTATATGAAGTACCGAATGAAATTCATGGAAGCTGAAAGTAGAACAGAGGGGCTGGGGAGGAGGAATGAGGAGTTATAGTTACATGGGTACACAGTTTCAATTTGGGATGATGAAAAAAGCATGGAAGTGGCTGGTGGTGATGGTTGAACAATATGAATGAACAGTTATGCCACTGAACTGAACACTTAAAAATGGTTAAAATGATAAAATTTATATTACACATATTTTACCACCATAAAATGTAAAAGAACTTCATTGAACACTTTTAAGTGGGTATTTTGAAAAATTGTATGTCTGTTATATTACCTCAATAAAGTTGAAGTTGCCAAAGAGGAATGTACTTGTCTTGCTTTTCCTGAACTATTGTACCTTTTTCTGTCCCCGGCGGGGTTTGCAGAGAGAGCCCTGTAATCAGACGGACCAAAGAACTTAGTTCAAATCCTGTTTTTTCCCCTTGCTGGTGTCCTAATTACATGAACATCATCATGTAAATAGAACCGATCTCGAGTTAAGGATTAAATGAACCAATACCTAAAGATCTAGCGACGTTGAAAACAAATATTAGTTGTTAGCGAAAATTGCCTCTGTCCTCTGAGAAGGGAAAATTGCTCTAAGAAGGGTGAGATTCAGGTTGTCCACCTCGACTGCGATGCACTTCTCCCAGGTCAGGAGTCGTGGGCTGTGCGGAGGCGGGCGCTGGCCGCCAGGTGGCGCCCGGCTCGTGCCGGGTCTGCGCAGAGTCCGCCGCGCGCGGTGCACCGGAGCGCCGGGGCTCTGGACCGAGGGGGCGGGCAGAGGCGGAGACTCCGCGGAACTCTGCCTCCAGGATCACACCCTCCTCAGGCCGGAGAAGAGGAGAGACATTTTCCTGTCGCGGCTCTCCCAGTCTGGGATGCGCCGGTCGATCCCCGGGTCGTGCCTCTAATAAGATAGCTGTTGGGCCGCACTGGGAAGGTGCCCGACGTGGACGATCTCATTAATTTCCCTCCGCCACCCCACTTTACAGACGGGAAAGCTGAGGCCCGAGAGGCAGAGTACCCCCTGGCCGCACAGCTGGTGAAGAGCCGAGGAGGGACTCGGGCCGGGACCCCTGCTCTTGTCCCGTGCTCGTCCCCTCTCTGCACCCGGTCCAGGCTGCCAGGTCGGCCCCGCCGCCGCTTGGCCTCCGAGATCCCACCCCTACACAGCCTCCCTCCCTGGGCACTCTGGATCTCCCCTCCCCCGGCTCCCGGTTTCCTTGTCAAAACTTCCTGCCTTGGCGAGGGCCCGAGTTCCCACCCCCTTCCTGCCCCCCGCCTCTCTGCGCCCCTCCCAGCCCAGCCATCCACAACGTTCGGCCTCCCCGCCGCTCCCGCAGTCGGGCTAGGGCTCCACGCAGGGACCCCTGCCCTGTCCTCCTCTGGGCCCACCCGGGCGTTCCCCATCCCAGGCAAACGGAGAAATAAGGTCGCGAGGCAGGTGAGTGATGGCGCCGCCCTGGTCCCGCGACCACTCTGCCCTGGGGGACCTCTGGGTGGAATGTGTGGGGGGGAAAGAGAGACCTGAAGGGGATGGGCAGTGGAGATGGGCCAAAGGGGGTTGGGGGTTTCCATTCATAATAAAATTGCATGTAAATTACATGCAAATGAGGCCGCTTCCAAGCCCCTTGTATGGGACTTGGTGAGTCCAGGGGCAGGCACCACCCCACTGGCCCCCTCTGAGGGCTGCAGAGAGAAGCCGTTACCAGGCCCTCTTCTTGGCTGAAGGATGCCTAGTGTTAAGAGCACCCACGTTGGTGTCAAGGCTGCCCAGGTTGGAATCTCGACTTGTCCCCTTATTAGCTGTAGGACCTGTGTCTTGGTTTCTCATTTCTAAAAGGGGAATGATAAGATACAGTGCCTGCCTTATGGGATTGTTGTGAGGTTTAGAGAGCAAAAACATGTCTCCTGCTTAGACCTGTGCCTGCTCCGTGTTTATTACAGGGTCCCTCCTCTCCCCACCAGGAGAAATGTTTGAGGAGTATGGAGGGAAGGGACCCAGGCTTGCAGGTCCCTGGGGCTCACAGCTTTGCTGGTTTGGGGAGTAGGGAGTTGGCCAAAGATCTCAGGCATGTGGATCCTCAGAAAGCCCTGTGGGCTGGTGTGTGTGAGGGGGAGGAGTGTGGGGGGGTCCCAGAGGGGGCCGCATCTCCAGCCTCCAGTAGGGAACTTTTAGCTGTCCTTCTCTGGCCTTTTATGAGTGGCCTTTCCCGAGACTGGGCTGTGACCCTAGTCCCCGGGGATGGGAACAGCTTGTGCTGGCCCAAGTTTCCCAGGCTCCCAGGCTCAGCCAGACCTCGGTTCCAGGCAGGATTGGGCAAGGGGTCAGCTCTCAACCCTGGCTTTAAGCTGGGCCTGGGGGATCAGGGAGCTGTCTGAATCCCACTCCATCCCAATCCATGCGATAGTCCCTGGGGTGGGCACATGGGGACCAGGGTGTGGGACTGCTTTCCTCTCTCTAGCCATCTGTCCCCTGCTGCTGTCTCTCCCGTTTTTGTGGTTTCCTAAAGCCTACCCAGCAAACTTGCCAATGCAGTTGGGGCTACCCTCCCTGCCACCTAGGAGCTGGTTTGGCCAGGCTCCCCTCTGTCTTCCTGTCTTCACCAGGAGGTGAAGCTGAGGGTTGGCATCTGTTTCTCCACTACCCACTGCCCCTCCTTCCATTCCCTATCAGACTTTCCCAGAAGAGGAAACTAGCTCTCCAGGCAGCCCCATCCACGGTTCGGAAACCTGGTTGTTGGGCTGCTGTCTGCCTCCCTGCCACCAACACACGTCGCTAGAGAGAGTCCTCCACCACAGTGCTCTGAACTTCTACTTTGAGTAGCCTTGAAGAAGTCCCTTCCCGGGGTGCATGAGGGGCCCTGGGGCCCATCTTAGCTCTGGGGATGGTGTTGGTATCAGTCCAGTCACCTAACCTATCAGAGAGAAGCTAGCAAGAGAGGAGCAAGAGGAGACAGGGAAGGAGAGAGAGAAAGACAAAGACAGAGATAAAGAGAATCAGAAATGTGGAAGCAGAGACCAACAGATGAAAAAAACACGGGCAGAAATATTTGGAAAAACACAGCATATTTGGAAAAACAGAGCAGAGACTGAGAAAAAGAACAAGAAGTGGGTAGAGAAGGTAGAAACAGAAGGGGAGACAGAGTCCAAAGACCAAAGAGAAATCACAGGGAAAGAAGGACCTCCAAGGGGCAGCCTTGTCTTTGGCGCTTGATGGACCTGGTCCATGTACCCACCTTGCCCTTGACTGGCTGTGTGCCCTTGGGAAAATTACTTACCCTCTTTGGGATTTGTTTCTTGGGGGATGGCATGGTTTGTGGGACCTTAGCTCCCCAACGAGGGATTGAACCTGGTCCCTGGGCAGTGAAAGTGGGATTACTTCATCTACAAAACAGGCAGTATAATAGCACCTTCCTTCTAGGGTTACTGAGCGAATGAACAGAAAGGACCCAGCTCACCGTATAGGGGTGGTCGCTGGTGTCACAGCACCCACACATGGCAAGATCGAGGGCTCTAGCACACAGGTGGGCGCTGGGCCATGGAGCCTTCTGAGTTCCTCTCCCGCCTGGGCCTCCCGGCCGGCCCCCACAGAGTAGCATCTGAGCCCTGCTCTGTGCAGAAGGAGGTGTGTGGCTAGACAGCGCGGGGTGGGCGTCGTCCCTGAGGGGAAGTGCAGGAGAAGGGCACACCCCTCCTCTCCAGGTGACTCAGTGCCCTGCACTCCCATGCCCTCATCCCAGAGGAACTTGGAGGCCAGCCCTGAGGAATTCCTGCCCGCTGCCTTCAGGAGGGCAGGTCTGGAGCTGCCCTTCACTTTGTAATGTTGGGAAGTTCTTTCTGAACTCCACCTTCCATCAACTTACCAATGTTGGGTCTTAAAGGCCCTGGAAGGGAGGCCCTGGTGTCTGGTGAGCCAGGAGCAAGCAGCAGCCTCTCCTTCTCCCCCATTTCCCACCAAGTAAGGTCGGGCTTACCCAAGTCAAAAAGGATTTAGAGTTTATCAGTCCATCCACTCCACACAACATTCAGTTACCGCCCACTGGGTGCCATACACCCTGGATGTGTGCCTGTAGGTGCTGGCCAGAGCTGGGGACTTGATGCTGAGGCAGGCAGAGAAGTGCCCTGACCCTACGGAGCTCCATTCCAGTGGGGAAGACAGCCTTTAATAAGAATATAATGACTGTGGGATGGGAGCCATGAGGGAACATTCGGGGGGGGCAGCCCGGCCACCCTTAGAGCCTCAGACAGGAATGGAATTAGAGGCTGTCCCAGTCTGGCAGGAAAGCCAGCCTCACTCACAAGCTGGCAGCCACAGGCTGGGGTCCCCATTACCTCATCAGGTCATCAGACTGCAGGGGTTCCGGAGGCTGTGAACTCCTGGCTTGACCTAAGTTAGTCCCACCTGGCCCCAGAGGAAGGACACAGGTCTCCCTGGCTGGAGTTTGAGGAGTGCGGGGTCCCTGGGGACTTGTCCATGTCCAGCTTGAAGCTGGCCTCAGGGAAGAATTGGGGAACAACCCAGGGCTCCGGTGGGCCACAGTGGTGAATGTGCTAAGAGCCTGGAGGAAGGTCCCAGGAAAGGGAGGAACAGGGGAAGTGTGGAGTCGCTGAGGGGCCTTCCTGGAGGAGGCTGGCCTGGAAGGAGGGGTAGGACCTGGATATTCCAGAGGCGGCCTGGGCATAGGTGGCCGTGTGGTGAGAGACACGTCCAGTGTGATGGGAGCCCAGGAGCAGGGGCTGGCCACCTGGGCCCTGGGCGCCCTTTCCCAGGGTGCTGGGGAGCCACAGAGGCGTTAGAGGGAGGCGGTGGCCAGAGCGGAGGTGCACTTTCTGGGGTTACCTGGGGGTGGCGATGAGCAGGGGGAGCGACTCCCTGGTCTGGGTCACCCCAGAGGTCACCTCCCCCCCTCCACTGCTTTGTTCTTTAAAGCAGATTCGAATCCTGCTGGCGCCTCTGCTGAGCTGATCCATTGGCCCTTGGGCAAGTCTTCTACCAGAGAACCTCCCTGGTCTCTTCTGTGACCCGGGGGTGACAGTCACTACACCTATGGGTGATGGTGAGGGTCTGGACTGGCTCCAGCCTCCAGCCTCCAGCAGGCATGTGGTGAATGTTTGGTGAATCAGAACTCCTGCAGTTTCTCTATTTCCTGATGAGTAAACAGGTCGGGCTGAGGACCCTCTAGCTTCTGTTTCCTGAGCCACAGAGAACACAAGAGCGGCCCCTCACCCCTGCTCCCTTCCCGCCCAGCCTTTGGAGCACGAGGAGTGTGCAGGCTTCCTGTCCCTCCATCCGGCAGACATGCCTGGCGTGCCGGAGGCCTGGCTTGGCTGGATGTAGGAGGGGCTTTGTGCATGTGTGTACAAGTGTGCACACGGGTGTTCTGAGTGGCACGTGGAGCAGAGCAGTCTAGCCTGCTGGCAGAGCTGGGTCAGAGGGCATCGCTGCGTGGGGAGGGGATGGAAGTCTTCGGACTCGGATCTCTCTGCTGAGTGGGAAGGACCAAGCCATCCTGTCTCCAAGGCAAAGAGAGGTCAGGAAAGGGTACAGAGAACAGACAGACGTGGGGGAGATCCTGAAAAACAAGAGAGCTACAGGGCGAGGCAACCTTGGCACCATGCTAAGACATGAGGGCTCAGTGTGTGGATCGTGGCTGGCATCAGCCTCCACTCCACACCCGAAGGCAGATTCCCTAGCGCAGTGAACGTACTACACAACTGTACATGGTAGCTTTGATACAGAAAAGGAAGGAGAGAGGCAGAAAGAGACCCAGAAAGTGACGGAGAAAGAAAAAAACAACAGAAAGTTTCTGTTTCAGAAACGGAGAGTTTCTGATGAAGAAAAGGCAAAAAGAAAGAGGCAGAGAGCCAGAACTTGGGGATTCTGTTCTTGCATTGTCCACTGAGCAGCCTGTGGCCTGAGGCTCTCTAGGATGGTTGTTGGAACCACCAGTTCCAACTCCCACTGAACTCTGGGAGATGCGGAGCTGTTCTCCCATTTTACAGATGAGGAAAAGGAGGCTCAAGGGCTCAAGTGATGTGCCTGAGGTTGTACAGCTTGTAAGTACTAGAAACATTGGCCTCCAAGATGGGAAGGGGGAAGAGAGAGACAGAGAAGAGAGGAGGGGGGGCAGTGGAGCCAAGAAAAAGAGCTGGAGTGGGTGCTCAAGCTGAGAGCTGGGGCGGGGGGAAACAGAACTCAGGCGTCCTGCCTCATCAACCGCTTTTGGCTTGAAGACGTACCTGGCGGGCAGCCCATCATTCTAGGGGATAGGGTTCTCGGGGGAAGCGTGATCCCCTCCCCTCCCCACATCCTTTCTCTTTGTCAGCATCTAAGGCCCCATTCCCATTCCCGGATCATCCTAGGGGTTCTTCAGCAAAAAAAGATAAAAAAGAGAAACAGTTTTTCCTGGAATTTATGCTCAAAGAGTATGACAGTGCCAAGTGGAGTGGGGAAGGGGCCGCTCTGGGTGCAGGAGGACTGGGTCTAAGGATGCTCTAGCAAACAGCGGTTGTTCATTGAGCTTCTTATGCAGTTCTCTAAGCTCTTTGTCTGTATTAACTCATTTATGGCTCTGCATGACAACCCTGTGAAGAGAAGTACTATTACCCTCCCCACTTTAGAGATGAGGGAACTGAGAGCTGGGATTTGAACACAGGTTTGAACAGGAGTGGCGGGGGCTGCAGAGTTCAGAGGGTATCTTTCACTGCACCACCTTCCAGAGAAGAGCAGCTGGAAGGGAGCTGGTGGGGAAGTCCATCTTGCTGTCTCACTTCCATCGGCCCCACTCTTGCTCTCTGCCTTCTATAGAAATGGACCATCTCCGGTCCACTAGGAGCTCCACTCCCCTCCCAGAGGCCCCAGACCCATTCCTCTCCTCCCAGCAGAGACTGGAACACAGTGAGGGTGGAAAGGCTCCCCACTAGAGGGGATCAGGCTAAATAGAGGAGCAGGGGAGGACAAGCTGGGTTGGGCCCTGCGTGGGTCTGGAGGCTAAGAGGGCAGGGATGCTGGGGGGCCCTCGCAGGCGGGACTGGGGACTGGGAGGCCTGGCCAGGCGCCCAGCTGCTTTGCATCTCGAGGTGGAGGAGAGAGAAATGTCAGCTCATTCTTGACTGTAAACACATCCTGGTTCCCACGCCTCTGATGGAGTTCTTGCGGCATTGCCCCCCCACCCCATCCCCTTCCCCTGTCCAGCCCCTGCCAGGCACCCCCTCGCCATAATCAAGACTATTAAAAAGAGATGCAAAGCCCCTGGGATTCCCGCCTGGGCTCGGGAGAGACTGGAATCGCAGGGGGAGGGCTCTGCTGGTCTGGGTTTGGATCCCAGCTCCGACATTGCTGTCCATGTGGCCTTGGGCAGGGGACTTACCCTGTCCTTCCCTATTTCCTCATCTGTAAAGTGAATAACAATAGCTACCACCATGGGTTGCATGCGTGATAAGTCGCTTCAGTTGTGTCTGACTCTTCGTGACCCTATGGACTGTAGCCTCCCAGGCCCCTCTGTTCATGGGATTCTCCGGGCAATAATACTGGCGTGGGTTGCCATGCCCTCCTCACCACTGTGGGTTGACATAAGCTTTACCCGAGATGATCCATATAAACTGTTCGGCACACTGCTTGTGCCAACATGGTAAATGACACATGGGGTCACAATGTTATTCCAGTTGTGAGGAAAGGTGTGTGGGTCCCTCAGTCCAGAGGTGAAGTGGAGAAAGGGGGCTGGGGGCGTTATCTGTATGGGAAGAAGAAGGGAGCCTACAGTGCGGGCCCTGGGGTCAGATGGGGAGCCGGTAGTTGTCTGATTTAAACCCCTTGAAGGGGCACATGGACCCCAGTGCCGCTGGGCTTGGAGGTGCTGGGGGAGGGTGGGCTGGGGTCTCAGGTTCCCCAGCCCCTCAGGGACAAAGGCTCAGATGTAAACAAGCCTAGGGCGCCAGGTGGGGGCTCCTGGTCTGGGCCGTGTTCCCTCCTCAGGGGCTGAGGCTGGTGAGGCCAAACCCTGCTCCTCCCTGCCAGGATCCCCATCCCACCTCTCCTCTCCCTGCGGACCACCCACTGATCGCACCCACCCCAGCCTGGCTTCCAGCCCCACCACTGACCAGCTGGGGCCTCCTCTGCACTCCAGTCCTGCCCCGAGGCCCTTTGGGAAAAGGGGCTCACCCCACCCCTCTAGCTATTAGAGTCAACCCCTAGGGTTAGGGTTAAGCACCCCCCCCGCCCCCGCCATGCTTCCCTGGCGGCTCAGTCGGTAAAGAATCCGCCTGCAATGCAGCAGAAGATCCCCTGGAAAAGGAAATGGCAACCTGCTCCAGTATGGTTGCCTGGAAATCCCATGGACAGAGGAGTCTGGTGGGCTATGGTCCATGGGGTCCCAAGAGTCAAACACAACTTAGCGACTAAACCGCCACATGCTCCCCTGAACAGTTTGCTCTGGAAGTTGGTTAAAAGGAGGTGGCCGGTGGGAGGGGGCTGATGTAGATGAAGGGAAGGACTTTCTCTCTCTGGGAGGGCAGCCCCCACCCCACTGCACCTCACCTCCTGGGGCCTTCGTGCTGCAGGTCTTGTCCACCTCACTGCAGCCTTGAGCTCTGGGGATGGACCCAGGCCATGGGAAGCCTGGGGGTGGAGTGGGGCGTCCCTGAATGGCTGGAGATGAGGCTCACCCAGAAACAATGGTGATGACCCTCCATCCAGGCAGACTGGGCTCCAGTTGGAGGACGGGATCTCAGGCCAGGCTCCAGGGTGTGTGGACCAACTGCCGGGTGAACAGGGGAGACGGGAGGGTCCAGGGCCCTGTCCCTGGGCTTACTGCCATGCATTTTCTAGGGAGAAGTGGGGAGAAGATCAGCTGGGACCAGACAGAAGAGAGCTGGTGTAGTTTTGGAACCTTGGGAGAAGGAGCCAAATCTGTTGGCGAGGGAGCTGGGGGGCTGTGCGGGTGGGGGGCCAGACTGTGGGGTCACCTGAAGGACACTCTTGACTGCGGCCTGGCTCTCTGAGGCCAGGCTGGGTCCCTCCCTCAGCCCCTCAGAGTGGGCTGGGAAGGAGGCTTCTGGACCTCCCCCTAGCTCTCCCCATCCTACCTTCGGAGTTCAGGGTGGTGGGAGGATGGAGCCACCCCATGCTCAGCCCACGATCATTGCTCCCTGCTGCCCTCCCCGCCTGCACACCTTCTAGCTGGGCTCTATTTCCTGTTTTCAGGCTCCATATCCTGAGCACCGGGACCCCCAGGATCCTCTCTGGATGCCCCCCGGCCCTGGGGCCTGAGGACTGTGACACCCTGTCCCTGGCTCACCTGAGTTTCTCAGGCCCCAGGATGCCATAGAGGCCTGGTGAGTTATTTGGGGACTGAGGATGGCTGGGAAGAACACAGAGAGGACTAGAGGTGGGAGATCTGCCCCAGGGGAGCTGTGATGGGGCCCCTAACCAGAGACCTGGGAGGGCCTTACAGCTCTGCAAGACTGGAGGGTGTGGGTGGACATTTGTGGCAGGATGAGGAAACCTGGGGAGGAGAGGTGGGCCAGCCCTGTAGCTGAGAGGGTGGTGAGCAGACCGCTGGAGGGTTTACTGGTGGGACAGAACGCACGGTGGGGAGTATCCCTAGGAGCGCTGCCTTGATGGGAGCTGAGAGCAGCTGCTGCTACGGACCCCGGGAGTGTGTGGGTGGTGGGGGGCCTGGGGTGGGGCTGGCGGCAGGCATTCCAGAGATACTCAGGGGGAAGGGGCCAGCTACCATGACCTTTCTCTCTTCCCGGGAAAATTATAAGCAGATGTGGGTGCCTCAGGGAGGTGTAGAGGAGGGAGCTAGGGCAAGTTTTAGGAACACTGAACAGAGAATCTGAAACCGGCGGCGGGGGTGGCTGCTCAAGGGGCTCAGCTGCTCCTGAGCGCAGGAGCCTGAACAGACTCCTCTGAGGTCCTGAGCCGCTTCCCACCCACCGGGCGAGGCCAGGCGTCGGGGAGGCAGGGAGGAGCCCATTTCCAGATGGCGGGTGGGTGGTCAGAGGGAGCTGGGGGCTGCTTCTTAAGTCTGAGGTCAGGTTGGGGACCTCCTCGGTGACGTGCCGAGCGATGGGTGCAGGGGTGTGCTGGCACGGCTTTAACAACCGGCTCTGGTGGGGAGGGGTGCTGGCCCCGGTTTGTGGTGTTTGCCGATGTCCGTGGTGTAAATAATCCCCCCATGGTTGGTTTCAAACTACTAATGTGACAGCACTGATCAAGAAGTTGGGAAGAGAAGTCACCATTGGTTCTCAGGAGACAGTAGGGGCTGTGCCAGCGCAGCAGTGGTGGGAGGGGCCTTTTTCAGGGTCACTGGGACCCAGTCCTACTCCTTCCCAATAGGAAGCCCCCAAACTGGGTGGTTTTGGCCTCTGCCTGCCTACCTTCAGGGACAGGGAGCTCACCACTCGAGGCTGCTGATTCTGTCACAGAACCGCTTCAACTGTTGGAAAGTTTCTTCCCTAACTGAGCCCAGGTCGGCTTCTCTTATAACTTCCCTTCATCGGCTCCTATTTCACTGAGTTGTGCTTGGTCGCTCAGTCATGTCCGGCTCTTTGCGACCCCCTGGACCATAGCCTGCCAGGCTCCTCTGTCCATGGAGATTCTCCAGGCAAGAATACAGGAGTGCGTTGCCGTGCCCTCCTCCAGGGGATCTTCCCAATCCAGGGATCGAACCTGGGTCTCCTGCATTGCAGGCAGCTTCTTTACTGTCTGAGCCCCCAGGGAACCTTGGTACAATACCCAGGTACCCTGCGTAGGGACTGGGCTGGGGGCTGGGCAATCACGCACAGGTCCCTGCCTCCAGAGGTCATGGTCAGGGAACAGGCACTGGAACAGCAGTCTGTGGGTGAATGGTGCTGGGGGTCCCTGAAAGGATGGGTGGGGGCTGTCTGCCAGTGGAAGTTGAGGAGCAGGGCAAGGAAAGAGGGGTGATACTTGGGCTAGAACTTGAAAGGTGAGTGCTCAAGGTGAAGAATGACAGGAGGATGTCCAGACAGAGGAAACCATGCGAGAAAGACTCAGAAGCATGGCAGTGCTCCACCCGGTCAGGAATAAGACCTGGAGCCCGGGGAGCAGGGCTCAGAGGACCAGAGGCAGCAGCCTCATCTCCTCTGTCAGCCTGGCTCCGTCTCTGCAGAGACTTGCTCCTCCAGGTCTGTGGCCACAGTGCCCCTCACCTGCTCCGCACCTGGCCCTGTCACAGGCCCCTGCAATGTCACCACCCCTGCGGGCCCTCCTTCTCCTGGCCCTGGAGCTGGGGCTGGCTGCCACCCTCAACCCCAAGGACCCCAATACCTGCAGCTTCTGGGAAAGGTGAGAGAGGGCCCCTGCTGCACCCTGAGGGCGCCAAGCCCCCCGCTCCTTATTCTCCCCCCTGGGGCTCCTCCTTCCTCATCACCTCCCTCTCTCCAGCCTCACCTCCTTCCTATTTCTGCGTCTGTTACCTCTGCTTCCTCGATGGGATGCTCTGACTCTATCCCCACCTTGATCGTTTCATTCTCCATCTCAGCTCTGACCCTGTCCTCTCTTTATCCCAGTTCCTTGGTCCCTGTGTGAGGCTGGCTGCAGGACAAAGTACAGGGTAGGAGCTGTTCGCTACGGGGCAAGCAGAGGGTCTCGCCCAGGGAAAGCAAAGGGGACGGGGTTGGGGAGCAAGGCCAGATTTGGCCAGACGTGCTTCAACCCATCACCATCCTCTGGGCCCAGAAGTCAGTTCTAGCTCAATCTCCCCATATAGGGATAAAGAGGCCAGGTGGCAGGGGTGGAGAACGGAAGGCTGGAATGGCATATTCCCAGGAATATTCCAACTCAGGGAGGATCCCTCTAGAGTGAAGGAGGACAGGATGGGGCTCCATCCTCGGCTTGGAGGGGCAAACCTAAATATTCCCCACTGTGACCCAGCCCCCACACCCCTGCCCCGGGGTGCCGCCTCAGTCTCTCCCTGGCCTGGGCCCCGACCCTGATCCCTGTCTTACAGTTTCACCACCACGACCAAGGAGTCGCACTCCCGCCCCTTCAGCCTGCTCCCCTCGGAGCCCTGCGACCGGCCCTGGGAGAGCCCGCACAGCTGCCCCCGGCCCACGTGAGTACCCAGCCCCCGCCGTGGGCGGGTGGGCTGCCAGAGTAGCTGCCTTGGTCCAGGCCCTGGGCCTCTGCACCCCCATCCTTCTCTGAGAACCTTCAAAATTCAGAGGAAGCATCCGGGCTCAAGGCGCAGTGTGTGAGGTGTGTATGTTTGGGTGTGCAGGTGTGGTGTGTGGTGTAGGTGTGCGGCTGGGTGGGGGGACCTGTCACAGGCCCCTGCAATGTCACCACCCCTGCGGGCCCTCCTTCTCCTGGCCCTGGAGCTGGGGCTGGCTGCCACCCTCAACCCCAAGGACCCCAATACCTGCAGCTTCTGGGAAAGGTGAGAGAGGGCCCCTGCTGCACCCTGAGGGCGCCAAGCCCCCCGCTCCTTATTCTCCCCCCTGGGGCTCCTCCTTCCTCATCACCTCCCTCTCTCCAGCCTCACCTCCTTCCTATTTCTGCGTCTGTTACCTCTGCTTCCTCGATGGGATGCTCTGACTCTATCCCCACCTTGATCGTTTCATTCTCCATCTCAGCTCTGACCCTGTCCTCTCTTTATCCCAGTTCCTTGGTCCCTGTGTGAGGCTGGCTGCAGGACAAAGTACAGGGTAGGAGCTGTTCGCTACGGGGCAAGCAGAGGGTCTCGCCCAGGGAAAGCAAAGGGGACGGGGCTGGGGAGCAAGGCCAGATTTGGCCAGACGTGCTTCAACCCATCACCATCCTCTGGGCCCAGAAGTCAGTTCTAGCTCAATCTCCCCATATAGGGATAAAGAGGCCAGGTGGCAGGGGTGGAGAACGGAAGGCTGGAATGGCATATTCCCAGGAATATTCCAACTCAGGGAGGATCCCTCTAGAGTGAAGGACGACAGGATGGGGCTCCATCCTCGGCTTGGAGGGGCAAACCTAAATATTCCCCACTGTGACCCAGCCCCCACACCCCTGCCCCGGGGTGCCGCCTCAGTCTCTCCCTGCCCTGGGCCCCGACCCTGATCCCTGTCTTACAGTTTCACCACCACGACCAAGGAGTCGCACTCCCGCCCCTTCAGCCTGCTCCCCTCGGAGCCCTGCGACCGGCCCTGGGAGAGCCCGCACAGCTGCCCCCGGCCCACGTGAGTACCCAGCCCCCGCCGTGGGCGGGTGGGCTGCCAGAGTAGCTGCCTTGGTCCAGGCCCTGGGCCTCTGCACCCCCATCCTTCTCTGAGAACCTTCAAAATTCAGAGGAAGCATCCGGGCTCAAGGCGCAGTGTGTGAGGTGTGTATGTTTGGGTGTGCAGGTGTGGTGTGTGGTGTAGGTGTGCGGCTGGGTGGGGGGCAAAGAGAAAATGTTCTTTCTCTGCTCCCCCAGTGTAGAGTGTTGGGAGGTGCCCCAGGCCCTCCCAGGGCCAGGCTATGGCGGGGTGGAAGCCGGGGCCTCTGCACGGGAGACTGAGGGCCACCTCTGGGTCTCCCCCAGAGTTGTCTACCGGACCGTGTATCGCCAGGTGGTGAAGACGGAACACCGGCTGCGTCTGCAGTGCTGCCGGGGCTTCTATGAGAGCCGCGGCGCCTGTGTCCGTGAGTGCTGGGTGGGGCTGGGCAGCGGCAAGAGCCTGGGCCACCCAGTCCTTCCCCACCCCCACCGGGGGGGCTACTCCTCCGCCCTCTGCATCCCCGGCCCTGTCTGTCTCGAGGGACAAAGCTGCCACTTCAGACCTCTGTCTCTAGCTGACCCCACGTTCCCCTCCACTCCCTCTGTCCAAGTCCGTCAGCTGTCTCAGGCTCTGCATCTCTGTCTTGGGGCCGCCTGGGTCTCTTTGTCACTGTGTCCCCGGGCTTGGGGTCTGCTTCTCTCTCTGACTCTGCCTGTCCCTATCTCTTTTGACTTTGCCAGTCTCTCCTGTCCCCGTCCCCGGCACCCTGAAATCTCCAGAGTGGAGCCTGCTCACTCTCTCTCCCCTTTCCTCAGCTTGGACCATCACCAACCCCCTGCAGAGACTCCTACCCAGCTTGACCACCCCCCTCCCCCTCTGGACAGCATCCATATCTGGCTCCTGTGTGAGGAACCTCACCCCCAACCTCATTTCCCAACAAGCTGCTTTGAGAACTTCACAGAAACGAGCTAGGGAGTCCAGAACCCTGAGGTCTTGGCATGCTCCGACCTGAGTTGCTTACTCTCAGTCTTTCTGCATCTGAGAGGCTGAAATGCTGCTTGGCAGGCTAACTCCAGGTCCCTGGTATGGGAGGAAGCTGGGGCTGGGCTTCAGAGGACAAAAGGTGGGCAGGGCGGGAATGGAAGCATCGTCTCACTCCCAACTCCGTCTCTGCCCCAGCGCTCTGTGCTCAGGAGTGTGTCCATGGCCGCTGTGTGGCACCCAATCGGTGCCAGTGTGTGCAAGACTGGCAGGGTGACGACTGCTCCAGTGGTGAGTGGCTGGTGGCTGCAGGGCGGGTCCTTCTGTGCCTCCAGGGAGGCACACCCTCCCTACGGGGCACAGGTGCTGAGGACCCCGGGCAACCACCCAGCAGAGTCCCACTGCAGCCAGCTGCCTCTTCTGGGGGTGTGCTGCAGGGGATGGGCCAAAGCCAGGAATGGGGCATGTGTGGGGGCCAAGAGAGAGAGACAGGAACTAACTGGAGCTGGGGAGGGGCAAGACCCCTGGTGACCCCCTCCCACCCTCTCATCCCCCAGCTTGCGCCCCAGGAGTGTGGGGGCCGAAGTGTGACCAGCCCTGCAACTGTGGCAACGGCAGCTCCTGTGACCCCAAGAGTGGGGCATGTTCCTGTCCCTCTGGCCTGCAGCCCCCGCACTGCCTTCAGCCCTGCTCCCCTGGCCGCTATGGCCCTGCCTGCCAGTTCAGCTGCCAGTGCCATGGGGCACCCTGTAACCCTGAGACTGGAGCCTGCCTCTGCCCCCCAGAGAGAACTGGGCCCAGGTATGTAACGGGAGGAACACACACTAACGGGATGGCAGACACAGGATGCACGGGCAATAATATGGGGATACCAGGGGACTCAGGATCCTCAATTTGGGGATGGAACCAAGCGGCCAAGATCCTGGTCCCAGCTTTGCTGTTCCCTGGTGGAGCAACCTTGACTACATTACTGTCTCTTCACGAGTTTGTTTTCTATGAAATGGGAGCAGTATTGTCTATCTCAAAGGGTTGCTATGAAGATAACATGAGCCAGAGTGTGTGTAAAAGTATGTCCCCAAGTGGGGCTGAGACAGTCACAGAGAACCTATTGCAAGGCAGGGTGCAGGGGCGGCTGGGGAGTCACAGGAGGGAGACCATCCATCTAGTTGGAGATCAAATATCCAGCTTCATGGAGGAGCTCCAGAGTTGAGCCCTTGGGATGAAAACTACAGCAGGCAGAGATGTTCCCCCCAGAGAAAGACCAGCATGAGCAAAGGTGGAACGGAGAGCATGTGGAGAGCAGACAGACCACCCATGGCTCTTCACTCTGTCCCATTTGAGGGGGCTGTGTGTCCCTGCCATTTCCAGTCCTGGAAACTTTTGATCCCTGCCCTACCCAGCAGGGAAGGGGGATGAGACACCTCGGGGCCGGGTGGGTGTGGCTCACTGAACCCTGGGGTCCGGAGGGCCTGGGAGGCAAAGGGGGAATTCCGTAGGTGCCGCTTGTTTACAGACTGACCTCACCCCCTCTGCTCGACAGCTGCGAGATGTCCTGTTCTCCCGGGAGTGCTGGCTTCTCCTGCCCCAGCGCTCCTCCTTGCCAAAACGGGGGAGTCTTCCAGGCCTCCCAGGATTCCTGCAGCTGCCCACCTGGCTGGACGGTATGAAGGGTGGGGCCTGTGGGTGTGAATTCTGTGGGTGGTTCTCTCCAGGGCTTCAGAGGGGGATGTGTGTGAGGGGGGTAGGCTGTGGGGGCCCTGGAGAGGTTTGAGTGTTTGGGGGTACAGGGTATTGGTGGGTCCTCCGGCCACGGGGAGGGGGCTGGGCTCCTGGGGCTCTGTTGACCTTTCACCCCCCACAGGGCACCATCTGCTCCCTGCCCTGCCCCGAGGGCTTCCATGGACCCAACTGCTCCCAGGAATGTCGCTGTCACAACGGAGGCCTCTGCGACCGATTCACCGGGCAGTGTCGCTGTGCTCCGGGATACACGGGGGACCGGTGAGTGGTGTGAGCCCGGGCGTGAGGGAGGGGTGCGGGGGCGGCTGCGGACGGCGTCTGCCAGGCTCACTCCCCCGAGGCGCCCAGGTGCCGCGAGGAGTGCCCCGTGGGCCGCTTCGGGCAGGACTGCGCTGAGACGTGCGACTGCGCCCCTGGCGCCCGCTGCTTCCCGGCCAACGGCGCGTGTCTGTGCGAACACGGCTTCACCGGGGACCGCTGCGCCGAGCGCCTCTGCCCCGACGGCCTCTACGGCCTCAGCTGCCAGGTGCCCTGCACCTGCGACTTGGAACACAGCCTCAGGTAGGCCTGGGACGCTGTGGTCAAGGGGTCAGGAGGCCAGCGGGAGAGGCCTTCAGTGCTGAAGCCCCTGGAGTCACGAAAAGCACCGGGGGCATGTCCTGGGCGGGGGCGGGACACAGATGTGGCAGAGGGGATCGGGCGGGGCCTCGGGGACCGGGGTGTGGGGGACCGCCCTCGGAACGGCGCGGAACCTCCCTGATTACCCTCTCCGCCCCGCGACGCTCGGCTCCCACCACGCGGAGGCGGGGGTGGGGCGGGGGGATGTCGGCTGCGGACGCCGGCGCAGACCGCCCCATGCCCGCGCCTCCGCCCGCAGCTGCCACCCGATGAGCGGGGAGTGCTCGTGCCTGCCGGGCTGGGCGGGCCTCCACTGCAACGAGAGCTGCCCGCAGGACACGCACGGCCCGGGCTGCCAGGAGCACTGCCTCTGCCTTCACGGCGGCGTCTGCCAGCCCGACAGCGGCCTCTGCCAGTGCGCGCCCGGCTACACGGTGAGGCGAGCGCCGCCGCGAGGGAGGTGCGGAGGCGGCCCAGGGAGCCCGCCCGGCCCTCTCATGAGGGCGCCCACCCACCCCCCACTTTCAGGGACCGCACTG